TAGTAGAAGCGATTGATGCGGGGTATACTACTATCGAGACCGGTTGATGCCGAAAGCACTAGTGGTAACCAGTTACGAGACCAACAGTCATGAATTTAGGTTAGCGGTGTATAATAGTCAAAAGCTGGGAAGATTATGGAGCCTAGAAATAAGAGTCGCTAACCCGAGTTTACCTGGGGGCTTGAAGTCGGTGATAGTCTGTGTGATGATGATAGTCTGTGTGTGATGATGATAGTCTGTGTGACGATAATAGCTTGAGTGACAATGATTTCATGTTCATATGATTATTATGATATTTATGCTTATACGAAATCAATGCATAGTATGCTTTTACCACTTAGCAAAGAGGATTTGCTCACCCATTGTTTTTCAGGTTAAACAGCTGTCGACAGATACGAGAGGACAAACGTGGTCATTACTTAGTTGCATTTATGTTTCTGCAAACTCGTTTTGATGAAACTCTTTGTGGATTTGAGTATTTCACGTTTTGAAATTATGTTTTTTTATATTGAGACTTTGAATGTTTTGGTTGTTTCCAGATGTCTTTGTTTGAAAGGAAAGAGTTTAATAGTGTCCGAGAAAAATGTTTTGGAAAATATTTCTAAAAGTTCAAATCATTTCTAAGAATTATTGTTCTTTTAACAATAAGCGGAGGTTACATATAAGTTCCAAGTGTGGAAGTCTCTACCTCATACTAAGATAGATTTATCAATCACTTAGCTTAACTTTGTTTTCGTTTGCGTCCCAACAGTCTTCTATATTATACGTTTTTCTTTGACTTGGTTATTGGAAGTTTCTTTCGCCATACATTCTTTTCTCCTGAAGGGAACGGCTCAACAAATAAAATGTTATTATAACCAAGAAATGGACAAAACATAGATTACTTATCAGTTCACCTAGTTTTTCAATGTTCGGTGTTTTTATCTTCACCATATAATATATTTGGGAGAGTCATCATAAACTACACAATACAAACCTATTAACAACTATTGACTTTTTACAATAATACTACTTAATTTTAATTTTATATATACCTTTTAATTTTTTTCATGATCTATAATAATTTAATATTTTATTAATGTGCATATATAATAACTCAAAGTTTATAATTATATTTCATCACATTCCCCCATGATAATTGATTAATTATTAAATTAACTTGATTACAAAAACATATGTTTTGAATATTTTTATTATTTTCGAGCCAATGATTCACAAATAAGTTGACAATGAACTGTTCATTATTTTATAAATATAACTATTTTTTACGTATA